CCATCTCGAGTTGACCTGTGTTGCCGTTGTTTTCGTCTCGGAGCTCGATACCGTGGTGACAAAGAAGCTTGTGGTGAAACAGAGTGAAGGTTCGGCAGGGGTACAGTCTGCCGGTTTCGGAGGAGGTACTGGTTTCCCTCCAGGTATTATTCTACGGTAGATTCACAATGAGCTAGTCAATATCTTCACCCAGAGGACAGCTGTACTTACGTCATCTTGGGCCAAGGAGGCAACGTGCCTTTGATGGTGAACCCAGGGGGAAGCCGAATCTGATCGAGTCTTGGGGGGCCACTGTCATTGAAGTTAGCATTAGCCTTCTCAAATATCTTTCGATGCCAGGACGGGGATGTGGATGTACGTACGGTCCCTAAAGGCCAGGTGGCATGTTGAACTCTCAACCACGAATATTGATGTCCCAGTCGCCCCAAGCGTTACAGATCTTTCTTCGCGTTAGCGAAATCATCGACACGCGACGGGATGACTTCGAATTTTACGCACAAGGAAGAACCACAGGCGACAGCTCAACTTGTGCTTGCCATTGTCATCGTCTTCGCCTTCATCTGGTACAGGCCTAGGGACAGGCACCAGTTCCATGTCTGGCCAGTCGTCGAACGGAATGGCTTAGGCTCCTCGGGTTGTATCCAGTCGTCTTCATCCTCGGGTGTTTCAGTGATAGGTATCAAAGGTTCATCCGAGGTAGGTGGTCTGGTAGTTCAATTGCTCGGCGGCCCGTTCGTGATTGCAGGCCAAGGGGGAAGCTGGATGGTACGCGATTCACCATCGATACCTGTGGTGATCCGAGGCAGATCGACGCTTCCGGATGGTCAAATCGTGCCGGTGGTGGAGCCGCTTGTGGCGTTGACGTTGGAGAAGCTCATCGAGCTTAATGTGAGCCGCGGCGGATTCACGGTGATGGTCTTGGTGGAGCCCCCTTGTAAGACGATGGACGTCGTGTAGGCCGGGATCGTGATGGCCGTTGCCTAAGGGAGGGCACTCGGAGTGAATACGAACAGACACGGAGGGGAGCACTGGGCAGGTGTGTTGTCGTAAACCTTGGGATCGAGGTATGCAACCTCTCCGTTATATGCGCTATGCACTGTTTAGCATCGTGTTGCCTTCCTGAATCTCCTCATGAAGGACACTTACCCAGGTTCTCCTTGATGATCCACCCCCAAATCGGTGGAACGTCCAAAGTTGAGTGATCTGTACTTGGTAATGCGCGCCTGTTTGTTCGCATCATCCATGTAGGCCACCCATTCACCTAGGAGCCCAGTGTCTAGCCAGCGCTTGTCCCTCGCGAATTTTGGATGCCAGAAACTTACTGTCGTCATGTACGAGGTAGTCGGACTCAGTCTCGTCTGTCCACTGCTTCTTGACTCGGCCCTCGGCAATGATCTCGTTGATCTCGCCGTTGCTGATGTAACCGCCGGTACCAGTACATGTTCCTTTGGCAGCGCCAGATTCCTTGCCTGTGTAGGTGCAAAAGGGACCGCTGCAGGAAGCATCCCTCATCTTAAAGGAGCGGCCATAGCTTGAAACTCCAACAACGATCTTGGCTGATGGCACGCCCGCTTTGGTGACCATTGCCAAGGACGACATTGTCTCGGTCATGTTGACGTGGGATCGGAGACAGTTACCAGCAGGGCACCCGGGCTGGGCCCATTTGCTTTCGAAGTCACATTGACCTAGTCGGAAAGTATGTTAGTCCACCTGCAAGTAGGTAGCTGTGAGATGTCATGTTGGGCTTGACGTGCAAGTCGTAGGTCATGTAAATGATGTAGTCGAGGTGCTCACTCCTCTCAGCGATGAGGAACTGCTTCAGGTACCAACATGAAGCGGGCGCAGCGATGGAAACCGTCTTGTCGCCAGGCATCTTCTCCCTGAAAGGTTTGACGAACTCGAGATAATCCTCAGCCTCTTGTGGATCACCGGGGGGGATTCCGGGTATGTCAGGCTGAGCTGAATATTCCCAGTCAAAGTCCACGCCGTCCAATCCGTGTGTGAGAACAAAGTCGACACATGCCTGGGCAAGTATCGCTCGGTTTGCAGGCTTGACGGTATTGGGGAAGAGCTGATAGGTGGCAGGCTCTGTGAACAAAGCCCAGCCTCCAAACGCAACGATACGCTTGAAGTCGCTGAACCCCTTGAACCCCTCAAACACGTCACCCAACTTTCCCAGACTGACCCCGAAGCTCGGGGTGATGTCGGCAAAGGAGAAGTGGATGTGTGTGTAAGAGGAGGGGATCTGCTGAGGCGTCATGTAAGGACAGGGTCGCTGATGGTTCCATGCCTCGTAATAGCCGACTTTCATGAACTGTGCCTGCGGGGAGCCTGTCTCGAGCTCCATGCCGCAGTTCTGCACACAGCCATTTGTATTGGGCTTGGCCGTGCCTGGGTTTGCAGTGGTGGACTCGGTAGGTACGCAAAAGTCGGAGTCAATACCACATTTTCCCCAGATGTTGCAGCAAACCTTCAACGGACAGGGGCTCAAGTCTTCGATCTTTTGGCTTCCAGTGGGAGCCTTGGTCCCGGGCTTGTCGGGCCGCATTCTGCTTCGGGGTTCTCTGCGGGCATGCGAGGGGTGCCGGGACCGACGCAAATCTGCTGGCCGGGGAGGAGGGTACAGCCTCGACAACCGTATGTTTGTTCGTTGTATTTGTCGAGGTCGTACTCTTTGATGTTGTACTTGATAGCGATTGCCGAGCAAGCGTCCTGGTTCTGGACAACGTATGACACGCAAGTGCCGTCCGGCCGAGGAGCCGGCGGTGCGCGCTTGCTAATGCCACTGAACTCGCGTCGAATGATGGGAATCTCTGTGGGTCATTTGTCGTCTTCGACGAGGCTCTGCGATCCGAGATCGCGCACACAACGAGCTTCGGACCAGGAGCGCAAGGCTCCCTATACTCAAGCGAAGTCGCCGGTAGAATCGATAGCCAGGCCCACGTGCTGGTTTGAGGAGTTGCTGTCGTCGCCGCATACTTGAACGATTAACCTCCCAAGCCCATTATCGCTTTGGCTGTCGTCAAACAAGCGGCCCCCGACAATTCCGTTCACGAATCCGACGGCGAGCTCCCGGTTCGCAATGTCTGTGCCGGCGTGGAGCCCAACGAGCACACCTTGACTATAGCCGTACACGACGGCCTCGTCACAGTTGATGGGGTTCCTCAGGAATTCTTGAATGTTTCGAATAGCGCCGATTATGCCGTCCTCGGCAGAGACATCCGCCGCAGTGGATATCTTTTCAGGCTTCCCGGAGATCCATCGTGCCGTGGTATTGACGCTGTTTGAGGCTCTGCATAGTGGCAGCGGATGCTCATCATCTTCGTCAATAACACGGTTGTCGTGGCATTGTTGGATATGACTGTCGTTGGAAGTGAATGCAGTTGCCGATTTAGATATGTAGAGTGGTTCCGGAACAGACGTAGCAGTGAGAGCCTTGGTGGACGTAGTGGTTTTGCCAGCCGTGCAGGCTCGAATCTCGATTTGGATGTCGGGATCATCGATCGGGTTGAAAGTAGCAAAGGTGAAGAGCATTGGCTCGGCGTAAAGACGGAGCTCATCGATTGAGTAGAATTTGTTCCAGTCCGCCTGCCGAGGGCTTTCGAGACACGACCTTGGGCAGAAGTCCTGAGACTGAAGGGGGTTACCTTCCACGCTGGTTCTTACTGCAGTGGCGGCGGACGAGAGGATTGCAAGGACGATTGCCGCCTTCCGGCGCAGCTTGTTTTGAGGGATGGTGACAATAAAAGAACTCGGATGACCTGTGCGAGTGAAACGGAATCAACGTAAGGAGGGTTTGTATGGTGTTATTCATCGGGTATGGCCACTCCTATCCACGTATTGATCTACCTTAAATACAGTCGGCCTACTATGCAATGTACAAGCATTCTCGCCAGCTCGGCAGGGCCGAGATGAAGCTGAGATTACAAACACAAAGAATGGCCTTCGCGAGCTATTAGCCTATTCTCTAGTCCATACCTTCCGATCAACTTCCCTTTCGGACTTATCTTCACGGCCTAACACCAAACTTTCACCTTCCAAGATCCAAAACGGGCAAACACCGGATCCCATCGTCGTGCTCTAGTAGCTTGGCGAGTAATCATGTCAGCAAGGAAGGCTACTACGAAAGTAGCTGCAGCAGATTTTATGTCCCGATTAGTAGCAGAACCAGGGATCTGCTGATCATGCGACTAGATCTCCGCCTCGTGATTAGAATTATATTGATTGGATAGTCAGATTATCAGTTGAATGCAGCCTCAGCGTCTGATATGCGAGAGTGGGCATGGTGAATGAGAATGGTAATGGCCGACTTGGCAGTAGAATGGAAGCAGGGCCAGACCACGTGCAAACTGTTAAGCAAGGCTCAAGCCCGATCGACGGAGCCGTTATGTCTGTAGACTTTGTAAGTACTTATGCCGCCTCGATGTCTCTGTCAAATCATCATCATCATCATCATCCAAGGCACGCCTCGACTTGTCTCGCATCCTCTCTGTCTATCCAGCATTTACATTCAGCTTCCACCAAAATGCATTGGCTACAGACTGTCGTGTTGTCGCTCGCCGGTGCCTAGTCGGGTCACTGTCTTGTGGCTCGACGCATCGGCGCTCGTGGCGAGGATCCCAACTATCCCTACGATCCGGCAACCACCCGATACTGCAGCTACTGGCTGTACCACGTCGCGGACCTCCCGTGTAACGAGATCCTCATTGCTTGGGGGTTTTCCCTTGCCGACTTCCTTTGTTGGGTAAGTGTGATCGTCCATCGCTTCACCATCTGCACCCCCCATGGCCCATGCTGGTCTCGTCCATTGGGCAGAATGGACCTTCTTTCTAACCCGTTCTTATTTAGAATCCTTCTTTGGTCCCGGACTGCAAGCCCCTCAAGAATGAATGGTCGTACTGTGTTCAGACGACTGGCGAGCCGACCACTGATCCGGGGACGATCCTACCCCCACTGATTCGGACAACGGTATCGAGACACCCGTTCCATACCAATCTGGCATGGTTAGTGACTGCGACAAGTTCTACCTGATCCCCCAGGACTCGGGTTGCCAAGCTGCCGCCAACAAGAACGGCATAACCCTCGCCGACTTCATCAAGTGAAACCCCGGCGCTGGTGCCACTTGCTCCGGACTCTGGGCCGATGTCTACACCTGTGTCTCTGTCATCGGTCACGAGCCTCAGCTCAGCACTCCCGCCACACCCACCACCCCACCCCGCGGCATCACCACTCCCGTGCCTACTCAGCCCGAGCTGGTAGGCAACTGCAACAATTTTTATTTCGTCCAGCAAGACCAGTCCTAGAAAGCCATCGCTAGGCAATACGGCATCTCCATAACCCAGTTCCTGGCTTAGAACCCCAAGGCTAGCGCCTCCTACGGCGGTCTCTGGGCTAATACGTACGCCGGTGTGTCTATCATCGGTTACGAGCCGACTCTCGTTCAGCCCGGAAACGGTGTCGCTACCCCTTCTCCTATCCAGAGTAGTATGGTAACCAATCACGACACCTTCCACTTTGTCCGAAGCGATGAATCATGCCGTATCATTGCCGACAAGTTTGGTATCACTGTCGCTAACTTTGTGGCATGGAACTCTGCGGTCGGATCCAGCTGCGCGGGTCTTTGGGCAAACACTTACGCTTGCATCACCGTTTTATAATACTGCTTTGAGTGGACAGCTAGTCGATGTGTCGAGAAAAGATGGACTGGAGCGAGAGAATAGATAGACTGGAGCAAGAGAATAGTGCCGGCATTTTAGGTGGTTCGGTCTCAACTGCGACGTTGACGCGATGGGTGCATCAACCAGCCCACCCGACACCATGGAATAAGCATGCAGTGTGCCTGACTGCGCGGGCTCTCACCTCTATCGCTCAGTGGAGGACGCACGGACCGGCTTACAAGTGCCGAGGTATCTAGGTAGGTACTGAGAGATGGAAGCTCTCATAAGCTCCTACTGCAGTGGGAGTTTTCAGACACTAAGGTAGGTATGTACCAGCCCGGCAGTCGGAGGTGATGCACCGATGCCTTGGTGGAGGAGTTGACGGTTTGGGGGCTCAGATGACGACGTGGATTTCCATCTTTGGTGGGGGATGGTGACGGTTCAAGAGGAGTGGTGACAGTCCACGTCTTCCGTCACCACCATGCCCCACTAAACACCCTGCATCGATGCCACGGCACCTGCAGGAACGAGCGGTGTGGGTAAGGTGAGTTGTGGCAGGGAGTATCCCAGCACGTCAATTTAGTCAGTGATCTCACGATTATGGGAGCTGCAAAATTTACATTGGCAGGGAGTCACTCCTTCTCGAAGCTTCCTGTTGTCCTGGTCGACTCCTTGGGCGCGTGCACCGGTGATAGAGGGGGCAGATTTCGCTGTGCAAGATGCGTGTAGGCAAAAGTCTTCGAAATCGCCATGGGATCTTCCGCAGCCTGCGTGCAAAATCCTGTAAGGTGCCGCAAAACATCCCAAACAGATGAAGTGGTCATCGAATGCGTCCCGATAGCATTGTGTTTGGGATGGTCTTGATGGCCATGATGGTGGCGGCGGTGGTGGCCACCTCAATCACATCCAGATGTCTGCGCAGACAACTGCCTGGCTGCGACTTCCAAGTTCCATCTCCTTCGCACGGACGGTGGGAGAGCGTGTCTAGCCAATAAGAGAAGTTGTCTGCCAGACAAACTCTGTTAGTGGAAGCTTTGGGAAGGAGTGGGACCGGGTCCAGAAGCTCATAGCTGTGGTCTTTGGAAGGAGTGGCCGATTCTGGCGCTGGAATCGGCATGCAGCCCCTGGAAGCACAGCACCGGCACTGGAGCACCGACCAAGGTAAACATCTGACGTATTTTAGGTCCACCCAACCCACACCCAATGGACGGCCACGACACTCGGCGTCAAGTTTGAGCCTGACCATCACGACATCTTCTTCGGACATTGAAGCTGTTCACAAGAGGCACTTGGTTCATCTAGCCAAACCCCGCAAACGTGATGAGTCTATGGAGGCGATGGCAACGGCCACCAGCCCGCCATTTGTTAGGACGATTAGCAAGATGTAGTGGGCTATGGGTTGTCGCTTGACGCGAATGCTGTGACCCCTTGAATCTGCCAGAGGACTTCCGCACATGGGATTGAGTTATCAGCGTTCCGTTCTAGCTTGTCTCATCAGTGCAAATATGCTGCATGGGACGGTGCTCGGAGCTTAATGCGGCGTTGGTGATTTGTACAATGAGAGGGAGGGACCGAGGAGACGCATACATGGAATGCATCTGACGCGACGGGTCTGACTATATGGAACACCCAAACGATTCATTAGCTTGTAGACATTCTGAGGGTGGGCGAGCTGGTATGGCAATCCTTTGTGGGTGCAAAGGGATCCCAGCCTGTGTCGTTGCGATGGGATTCTCCTGAATTGTTAGGTTTGTTTTCTGATTCATTTTCCGCAGGCTTCTGAGTAGAAGCCATGCCGGTCTTGCGCAGCTCTGATAGCACGGATCTTTACGTGACTCCTTGAAGACGGGATTGCCGATACCGCGTCGTGGCACGGAGAAGACTCTGGTCCGAAGTGGTCGTTGATGGAGCTAGGGCTTGTTCGGAGATAAAACGACATCAGATGAATGGAATGAGATAAGCGAGATCAGATCCGCCAATAGAACCCCTGTGGGGCAAGCTGTGGGGCAAGCTGTCCTCCTAGCACAAGAACGGTCGAGGTACTTTCGACGGTAGCCGACACCTGCAATACTATATAAATGTCCCCGCGCGGAAAGCATTTAAGAAATACTTCAAAAATAGCTTAATACTATGATTCACATGTCTGAGAATGTTAGTGAACCATTTTAATCAAAAGTAAGCTGAGGAATGCAGATCTGAAATGTCTGGAGGCTGAAATCTCGTCGCGATTCCGACGATTTTGCCCGCAACGAAGTTGACAGCAATGTACCGCAAAAGTCGCGCGGGGCCCTACCGCACTCCGAGCCCGCGCCACAGCGCTGAGCTTGCATTTGCAACCTGGATGAAGCATTTGGTGACTTATCAAGGGACAGGGTACACTCCGTGATATTGTCGCTTAAGCGTCCTGACAGCTTGCGACTATCTGCGTGTAGAAGTGTTGGCGAACGGGTGCCGTGGAAAGGGAATACGCAGGAGATATCCGACGAAGGATTCGCGGGCTTGTTCCAGTCGAAGACTGCCTGCTGGGTAAAAGTTCCCACCGCCTTCCAAAAGCTCCTAAGCTAAAAGCTGCTGTAAGTTTTTGGAGCTGTTGGACCCGAGGCCCATCAGCTCCCGTCCCCCACAAAACGCCATTACCCTACAAGCTGCTGCTACCTTTTCAGAGCTCATGCCGAAGCAGACCTCGGTTCCAGTGGAACAATGCATCGACACATAGAGGCACGAACTCGCTCTGACAATGATGCTGTGTAGGAATCAGCCACCTAGAAGTGAAAGCTGCGGCGTGGACGGTCATTTCAGACCAACGGCTTGGGATGAATTGAAAAGGATCGGGACTGTCGAGTTTGGCAACTTAACTGACTCACAAATTATTGCAGTCTGATCTAGTGAATAGACATCGGCGGAAGATTCGAAAATGCGAGCGATGGGGAGCACTTGATATCTCGGTGCGCCATACATGTCCGCCTAGTCCAAGAACTCTTACCGATGAGGACGAAGCCGAAGATGCTGAGCGTCTTCGACTTCCTCTAAAACGGGTTCTCATCCGCGTCGGTACCTCACAGAGCGCGAAAGGTGGTCACGCTAGAAGAGCTCAGTAAGATAGTTAGCGCACCATATGGGACTTTTCTTTTTGGTGTACGGTCAGAGCTACCATTCTCCCCTCCCGTATGACTCGCTGCTTTTCAAAATCACCGGTCACTATTGGTCCTTTTTCAAACCGTCTTTTCCTACACCTACCTCATCCAGTCCGAAGATGGCCATTCATACGTAGGGCGAACTCCCTGAGCACGTCCGCGTCGATTTGAGAACCTTTATCGAATCCATCTATACCCATCGCGCCGAGACCTACGCACGCCTTTCTGAACTCAAGACCTCCCTGTCCAAGCCACCTGAACCAACGGATGTTTGTGACGTCCACCGTTATTTGCCGATCGACGCCATATCAGTCGTCACAGAGGCAATACCAGCCGAACTCCTGATTTTGTCACATCAGAATATGCCGAAAGTCCGGGTTATCGCCGCTAGATTCACTGATACCCAACAACGGCTCTTTTTCTCCATCGCGTATGATCGCGCCAAGCAGGGGCACAATTCCTTTCGAGCCCTGGCCAAAGTCTCCCATTTGACGTGGGACTGCAATGTGGCGCTAGATCTTCTTTGTCGCTGTGCAGGAGAAAGACGCGCAAGAGAAACACGCCTGAGGTTGAATGCAAGAAACAGGCGCCTACGATCAAGAGCCGATCGTCCAAGACCTGCCATAACTTTCAACGACGCTGAGGCAGCGTTGAGGTGCCTGCAGATTCTCCGGAGGTCGACTCAAAAGCCCTTCTTTCCCCTTCACTCCAAGCCTCGTCTGCAAAAATTTGGGCGACATCAACGTCGCATTTCACTTCTGCAGCCGGCAGCAATAACTCAAAGACAGTCACTTCGACCCGGATCGAAGAAGCAGAGAACGGTGTGGAAGCAGGCGAAGGCTACGAAGATCCCGCCCAAGGCCCTGCAACGCCGCAGAGCCAATCCAATAATCCGTACGCAACCCCCGAAAAAGGTCGAAAGGCTGTAGCATCAACCGCCGAGTCACGGTCACCCATTGATCGGCCATTCCCAAGAGCAAGTCCTAGCCCTATTCACAAGAGTCCACTTTTCGGAACGGGTCCCTCTTCAGACAAGAACGGCCCCGAAATTCGGGAAGAAGGGTCTCTCGACTACGAGCCCTTTGCAGAGAACTTGTATTTCGGGTCTTTGAACGTGTCCTAGGGACAAGGAAAGGAATCGGCCACTGAAAGCCAGAATAGCGAAGAGCATTCCCAACGCGGAGACGAACGATACGAAGACGCCGGCCTGGGGTGGAACTTCGACGACAGCTACGAGTTTGGTGGTGGCCAGGACGAAACTATGGTTGCAACCAACTGCAAACTGGACTCTACAGAATCGTTAATGCCAAAGATCTTCGCGGTTCAAGCCAGCAAAAGCTAATGTGTTCAGTCGTCAACGAAGCGTCAGAACACCGAGCAAAGGGACGCTGCACAACCAGTTTGAACACTACAATGCCTCCAATGACTGGACAGGCTGTGGATGTTGTACGAACCGCGGGTCAGACGGCTGCGACGGAGCTTTTGGGCATGGTTTTGGGTCGTGTTGCAGAGTCCCAAGGCCCTACGTTCAACTACATCAACAAGAAGGAGACAGACTCCATAATACATGAAGCCTATGGACCCAGAGAGAGCATAGCGAGCGGCGTCAGTCAAGCCAGGCTAACAATATTGCCGATCATGGCTCCTGGCGGCCATTAGCTAGTTTGTGTTGTTGAACAAGACCTGCGAAAGGCCGCCAGAGTCTACCTATTGGACTCATCTAAATCTGTTGATAGCCTCAACCTAGCATATGTTAAGTGTTACCTTCCTTGGTCGTTCAGAAGGAACTATACTGTCATCCGCAGCGCGGTTAGTCGGCAGACAATGGGACTCAGGCATACATGCCGTGATAGTAATTTTCTGGAT